GGAAGGAAGGAAGGAAGGAAGGAAGGAAGGAAGGACCACAATGCCCCTGGTCTACTGCTGAACCTGCTTTGAAAAAAGGTCCAGCATTTCATTGGTTTCCCCCTCTGGATTCACCAGTTTTCTCTGATGAGCTATGACTTGTCCTAACTGTTGGCATGCCAGTAGCACAAGCAGATAGGAAATGGTAAACTGGTGCTTCAGCATACTGCTTATCTGAGATTTAGAAGAAACGCCTCATAAAGCACAGTGAGGCTCAGGCTTTATGTGGGCATAAACTGTGCAGTTGGTCTGTGATTTGGATGCTCACAATTAAACACTTGTGCCAAATATAAGCCTCCTTCTTTCCTAAAGCTTCCCATGTCTCTTCTCCTTCAACCCAGACATTTACCTCAGAAGCCATAAAGTTACAGGACCTTCCCTTTCACCATGGTGATGTCCTGCTCAGCCTAGAAGTGTACAGCTCTGAGGCTTTTGTCAAGCAACCAGGCCCCTGTACAGTCTCTGCCAACAGCCGGGTGTTTGTGGAGGTAATACTGATATTCATTTTGAAAAAGCTGACTTCTGATGCAAAGACTAAGATTCAGATTTCTTGTCCCTACACAAGTGCAATTGCACTTTCCTGAGTTATCCTATTTCAGAGGTTGTGGTCAGGACTCCTGGCATCTCTCACCTTAACCAGGCAATAATCTGCCTGCTTCTTTCTAAACTTGATACTTTATGGATGATGGATGTTGAAGTCCTACATACCTGGACGGTATCAGCTTTGGAGCTTTTTGCTCTACCTGGATTGGCTTAGAAGCTACTTCTAGGTTCCTTCAGAGATTGGTCACTTGGGTGAATATACCTTTTATTTTTGATAACAGTTATGGAAGAAAAAGTGGGTTGAATCCAGTTTTCAGGTTGGACTTCCTCTATTGGGAAGCCTTCAGTAAATGGGCCTTTATTTTGCCAAGGATGGTTGTGTTATGATTCCCCAGTTGCCCAGTTCATGGAAATACTATAAACTGTAGTTGGCTAGAGACCATTCTTGGGAGAGTTTAGGAAAACAATTAAAGCTTTGCTCATGATAACCATCGAGCAAAATCCATAGGATATGTTGTATATATTTGGGCTCCAGCCCCCTCCTCCCCCAGGTAGATTCTGTGATGCTTTTTCTGTTCCTTCTTCCATCCTTTCAAGATCAGGCATTTGGCTTTGCTAACTCTACAGTGTTTCTTTTTTCCTCCAGGCATCTTTGGCCACATATAACTTCTGTCTTGGCTTCACCATCCAGCAATGCTTCATCTCTCCCTCTTCGGACTCTTCAGTGGTATCTCCATACCTGCTCATCCAGCATGGCTGTGCAGCTGATGCCCACGTTACTTTGCTGGAACCTGAACAGGCAGCTCAGGGCCAGGCATTGCCCCCAGGATACCAGCAACGTCAACGACTAAGTTTTGTGCTCCAGCCTCGCTCCAATGACTCCATTCATTTCTTGCATTGCCGCCTGACACTCTGCAGCAGGGAACCTCATGACCCCAACAAACCTAGAGGTCCAATCCCTCAGGTCTCTGGCTCCTTGGAGTAGGAAAGCGAGCTTTTGGCAGCTGCCCAGTAGCACTGTGCTAATACTCATTTTGTGTCTCTGAAGCTGTCCTGACATAAGAAGATGTCTTACATTTGGTCAGACAATCCACCAAGCTTAGTGTTGACCATTTGGATGGGCAGGGTATCAGGCACCCATGTTTCTTCCACCTTTCTTGGAGCTTTTGTATGCAAATCAGGTGCCCTGCAACTGAGCCATGGCATACACTTTGTGGAAAGCATGGAAAGGTAGAGCTTAAGAACAGCTGTGAACCTGGGGATAAGGCAAAAGGGAAGCTTCTTAATCTATCTGAAATGAGTTTCTGCACAGAATTACTTAACTTAACCTGCTTGGGAAGTTAGATACATGGTTTTATTGAGAAAGATAGTTGTATTTGGTTCAGGCTGTTTGCCCTTGCAAAGAGGTACTCTTTGAGACAGATTTTTGTTTCAGTGCCAGTTTGAGAACAAAGCCTGCAGGAGAGAAGAGCTGTCCAGTGGGCACTTCCAGCGTACCATCACAAAGCCCATCATAGTGACCATGGGAACTCCATTCAGAGCTACTTCTCCTGGTCTGAGGCCAGGTAGGCACTTGGACATGGGTTCTGGAGAATAGCTCCCAGTTCAGCATCCCTAGCTCCAAAGAGATTTCAGTGCCTGCATTTGGAGAAGACAGTCCTCACAGCCCCTCTCCAGCAGCCAGGATCTGAATGAAAATTCAGGGATAGATGAAGCTCTTTTGTCCATCTCCTCCCACCTAGTTACAGGCAATATCTTTTACCTATTCCCTATTAGTTGTCTATCTTATCATATAGCAGTGATTGGGTGGGCAGAAGGAACTCAAAAACATGCACTTGTTTTATGGAAGCCACTTCCTGAAAATGTTTTTGTTAAACTTTCCCTCCTTGATTCTTATATTCTTTGCCATAGATAATTTCCTGGCTAATCAGCAAGGAAAAGCAATGAAGGATGCAATGAACTTGCGGAAGACACAGCAAGTTCTGAGTGAGTAAATACTGATGTCTTACTTCAGTAAGCATGTTTGCTGGGGTATGGAGAATAGAGTCAGTTCTGAATCTGAATTCCATTTCCTGTTCTAGAAGAGGTCTTAGGGCTCTTCCCTGCAGCTCAGTTAAAGTGCTCAATTCCTATCTGTGAGCCAGCAGATAAGCACTGCTGTCCCCAATGCATTTAATCTTGGCTTGCAGTCAGAGGATAGTGTCATTCCCCACACAAAGAAGGCCACCTCACTTTCACATTGCCACCAGCACTACTACAACTGGCAATGGTTTTGACAGATGGCTGTACCTGAAGGTTTAACTATATGCCAGAGCTTGCTTCTCTTTCATATGCTGCCTCTCCCAGAGTGGGGATCAGCTGCCAAAGCTGGGAGAGGGGGCTGTTTACCTGCTGGATCTCCTAGCCGATCCTCAGGCCTGGATCAAGCCAAATTGCAGACTTATAGAAGGGTAGTTATGCAAGCTGCTTCTCTCTACCACATCTCCCTGACTTGTAGCTGTTGTTTGTTCTGCTTTTGAACATGAGTTTAGTGCTGTACCTTGCATGGCCAGGGGCTGTGCTATAAAGCAGCAAAAAAAGAGAACAATCTCTCTCACAGATTTCATCTTGCAGCTTCACCACCACTGCTGAACAAATACAATTCAGGCTGATTCAAGTCTCTGAGCTGAGGATTAAGAATAAAGAAAAAATGCCAGACTGATCCTACCCCTCTGTGGCTCACCTGATAGATCTATCAATAAAATGGTCAACAAAACAGATGAGATTGTATCCATGATTGCCATGGCTTGTTTGCTGCTCACAGGGGAAAACACTAACATCAGAACAGCTAAGGATGACTTTAAGCAGATTCAGATATGGGCTGGGCACAAGGTGATGGCAAATGTCTTGTGGACATAGCAGGAGAAAGTAAGGGTCGAGTGGGAGGTGACATATCTATGCCATGGATAGGCTCAAACATGGCCAGATCAATGACTTCTACAGTGTTTTTGTAGTTCTTCAAGCTGTGTTTGGCTACACCTCCATAGTAATGCAAAAAGCAAATTTGGCTTCCAGTTGTTTAACTATATGATTCCAGTTAGTTCTCATTAGGGATGTGTAAAACTCACTTATTCAGGAACAGAAGGTACTGAATCTCCCCCAGATCACTCTGGGTACTGCCTGTGACAGAATGTCCAAGATTATCAAATTTGTTCTTGTCATGTTGACCAGAGTTGCATGAACCGCATACAGAAGCTGAGAAGTGGAGTCTAAGAGACATAATGCTATTAGAAGTTGTTTTAGCTGCTGTGTGGGGGAGAAGTGGAAGCCAAGGCTTGACAAGAACATGGAAGTACTATTCATCACAGGAGAAGCAATTATGATACACCTGGGTGACAGAAGACAGAAGGGTTCAAAGGACAATTCAAAGACTTCCAGAAAGAGGCCTGCAGCTGTTCAATAATTTGATGGCTATGATTCCAAGGGGAGAGAGGGAGGGTGAGTTATGATCTCAAGATCCCAGAGAGAAGGAAAAAAGAGAGTAGAGAATAATAGAAGAGAAAGCAGCTGGCAAGTCTTTGTCTCTATAATGTTACCTATGCTGAAAAGCTGAGAAAGAGTTGCCGGGGGCAGGAAGGAGAAAGAGAATAGCCTAAAGCCTGTTGAGCTAGCTGAAAGTTAAAAGAACTTTCCACCCAAGGTGGGAGGAAATAACTGTAAATAAAATAAGCTCTATTAATAAGGGAGAAAATGAAAGGAAGAACTTAGAGATAAGCAGTGAAGGAAATACAATATTTAAGATAAGCAGAATTCCAAACGTAACAGGAGCAACTTAGTAAAATAGAGTTTTGTAATACAAATTAACTATAAACAACAACTCTGGTAATACCGAACAACTTAAGACACACATTTAGTTTGTAAATCATCTGGTAATAAAAGTAGTTGTTCCACTGGTTGAATTGTATGCATAGCCTGGTCTGTTGCTATCCCAAAACCCCTTTTGGAATGGTGTGCAGAGGAAGAATTGGACATTCCAAAGTTCTCCAGAATATACCTGAATTGGGGAATTTTGTATATCTAATTATCATACTGAAAAATATTAGCTGGCTCACTTCTTTAATTCAAAGTATATGCCTTGAGTAATAGGCTCTGGGATTCAGACAGAAAATAACATAGATCCCACAAGCCTGAAATCTGCTCAACGTCGATCTAATGAGTTTGAAATGAGAAGACTCTTTTGCAAAGGTCAGAACGATCTTCCTTCCTGTTTCTGTGAATGAACTAAAAATGAATGAAACCTTGATTTTAGTTTTTTTTCCCTTGCAGTCCCTAATTTTAAGGACTTGTTTCATATTTTGCAATGGGTTCTTTTGGGCAAACAGAACATAACTTCTTAATTCCATGTATTTTTTCCTTTTCCGCAGCTGCTGCTCCACCAGTTCTGGAGCTCCCAGCTGTTGTTGGCATAGCCTTTTCAGCATTCATCATTGGCATCTCCCTCACTGGCGGCCTCTGGTTTATTCATTCTCAGACAGGTATGCAGAAGGGCCGTGTTTTCAGTGCTATTGCTAACATTATTCCACATTACTTGTGGCTGTTGTCAAAATCTGCAGCAAAACGTATCTCATCACAGTGGACCAGTTGAATGGCCTGTTAGTTCAACCTGGTGTTTCCCAGAGTGGTCAACCAGAGGATAATGAAGGCCCATTAAGGGTTAAGTTAAAATTAGCACTATTAAATGAGCACTATTGCATCCTTAAATCTCCGATTAGAATCTCCAGACAATAATTTTTTATGAGCCGAATAGTATTATAAATACAGGGTACTCATGGTTTCTCCACATAATTCATAATTTTATGCATCTCTATTATTTCTTTGATTACTATTATTACTTTTAAAAAGCCAAAGCATAAACATTCTCCCTATAGAAACAGCTCCAGCTCTTAAGAATTTGGGTTACTCTTTTTTGTGATGCATTTATTAGAACTTTATGCAGTAGTCCAAATGTAATTTAATTCTAGATTTGCCGAAAGGAATAGTGTCTCTGGTAGTTTTATTTTAGATTCCTTTCCCAATGAATCCCAAGATAGATTTAATCTTTTTTATGGCTGCCGTATATGGGTTAATGTTTCAAGCTCTTCTGAGTTGACATGACAGACTAGGAAAGGTGTCTTGGAACTGCAGTAATTTCACAACCCTGTCTATGAAGCTAGGATATCTATTGCCTTGTGGATCCTCAGTCCTTGATTACGGTGATCTGCAGTTGCTATTTTAATGCCCATTTCCCCAAGTTGGAAAGCTCTTCGCAAAGTTCTTCACACTCATGTCTGTTTTACCCTTCTTATATAATTCTGTGCTGTGTGCAGATCTGGCCACTCATTACTCAGCCTTTTGTCCTTGGATTGCCGTGGGATAGAATTCAATCAATCAGTCAATCAATCAATGTAATAACATGTTTTAAAGTGTCCAAATCATTTGTGAAAAGATTAAAGAACATTGGTCTCAATATCAATCAGCATAAATTCCTCAAGAATCTTTTGTGAGACATATTTTCAAATGGTTTTTGAAAGTCTATCCATTGGAACACAAAGATTTAAGATGTTAAATATATAATATTTAAAATATTGTTAAACTATGTGTCTAAAACTAAGTAGACATCCAGTAACAGTTTTACTGTAATGTAGAAAAAGGCACTTAATTATAACCAAAGACCAGCCAGGTTAAATGCTTATCAATACTAAGCAATAAATAAAATCAGTAAATCATTTATTAAAAGATGCACCTGCTTCATCTAGCTGTAGCTATTCACATACATATGCGTTTGCAACCTAAAACCACTCCAAGACATTCAGGATAGAAATTAATTTGTGACTGACTAGCAGTCAGTTGGCCAGTTCACAGAGGTAACTTAGATGTTATTTCATGTCCCACTACTATCACACAAAATTTTGCAACGTTTTTGTCTGAAAGCAGCAGAGTCTATAGGATTGCTTTGATCAGTTTGGATGATAGAACAGGAGAGCTGTGATGCAATTGGTGCAATAGTCATTGGACAGGCCCCTGCAGTTTTCTTGGCAACCTCTTTCAGAAGTGGTTTGCCCTTGCCTTCTTCCTAGAGCTGAGAGAGAGTGAGTGGCCCAAGGCCACCCAGCTGGCTTTGCCACAGGTGCCACAGAGTTCAGTGCTCTCTTTCTTGTTTAACAGCTATATGAAGCCATTGGGTGAGGTCATCCATTGGTTTGGGTGAAGTATCATCAGTATGTTGATGATATCCAGTTATATATCTCCACCCCTGGTTGAGTGATGCTGTGGAGATCCTGTCTTGGTGCCTGGTTGGGGGAACAACAGGCTTCAACTCAATCCTAGTAAGACCAAGTACCTTTGGGTTTTAGGACCTCCTAGTTCTGGGGATCTTTTGTTCTAGGTGGGGTTGCACTGCCCCAGACAGATGCTGTGCTCAATCTGGGGGTCCTGTTGGACTCGCGGCTCCTGCTCCAAGAGCAGGTGGCATTGCAGCCAGGAGGGCTTTTGCTTAGCTTCGAGTGGTGTGCCAGTTGCACCCAAAAGGCCCTGCTCATGCCTTTGTCACCTCCCGCTTGGATTACTGCAATGGGCTCTACATGGGGCTGCCCTTTGAAGAGTATTTGGAAGCTTCAGCTGGTGCAAAATGCAGCGGCACGGGCAGCTATGGGTGGCAGTTGCTTGGCACATGTGACACGTCTGCATTGTGAGCTGCATTGGCTACTGGTATGCTTTTGGGTGCAATTCCGGGTGCAATTCAGGCAGGAGGGGTATGCCGCGGGTCCCATCTCCAAAAGAGCTCCATCTGGCGGGACCCAGGCAGTGTGTCTTTTCTGCTGTGGCCCCCGCCCTCTGGAACATCATTCCCCTTCAGGTGAGGTTAGCCCCATCTCTGTTAGCCTTCCGGAAAGCCCTTAAAACCTGTTTTTTTCACCAGCCTTGGGGATCCCAGGGACAGCCTGCAAGGTGGCTGTATGAGATTCAGTGATGCTTGTTCTGCTTTCTAGGGGTTTATCTGTTTTTACATTGTTATGGAGCTTTAACTGTTGTGTTGTACAGTGCCCAGAGTCATGTGCTTGTGAGATGGGTGGCTAATTAAATAAAAATAAATTCAAGGTGCTGGTGGTTACCCTTTAAAGCCCTTCATTGCCTGGGGCTGGGCTACCTACAGAACCATCTCTCCGCAATGATGCCTACCTGTCCTGCGAGATCTGGCAGGAAAGGCATGCTCTGGGTCCCGTCCATAAGAGTGTGCCATCTGGCGGGGCTCAGGAAGAGCCTTTTCTGCTGTGGCACCCACCCTCTGGAACATCATTCCCCCAGAGATTAGACTTGTTCCAGCCTTGCTGACCTTTCGCAAGACATTGAAAACCTGGCTTTGCCATCAAGTCTGATAGCATAGGTGAGTCCATTTCTTGGTCTTGGTTAACTGAGTGTTCTCGGCCATGTTATTTTATGTTATTTCTATTTTTTTAAAATTTGGTTGGTTTATTATTTTTTTATTCTGTTTTTAACTGTTAGCCACCCAGAGTCATGTATATGAGATGGGCGGCCATATACATTTATTAAATGCTTATTTTTAATCATGCCTACTGCAAATCTATCTGGAGCAAGTTGTAATTTTGCAAGTTGCAAGTTCAGCTTGAAATTTTATGGGTCCCCCCTGAATTTCCTCTAAACATTCAGTACTGAGACTTCTTTAAGGACCAAATTCTGTAATTTTGTGAGAGGAACTACAATTTCCTACACTTACCGTTCCATAAATATCTTCAGATGGATAGCATCTGAACTGGGGATTTTTCAATTTGTCAATAATCTCTAGAACTTTATCTCCTGCCAGAGCTATTTGCTTCCATTTCCCAGACACCCTTCCTGAAAAAAATACAGCCTGAGTCACAAATTGCTGTTCAGAGTCTTCTGCACTGAAAAGAAATAAGGAGAACTATTCATCTTCCTTGCAGTTTCCCGACTCTGTTAGTATACTAACCTTTAACTGCTCTGTCAGCAGACGCTCCAATCTGGTATTTCAGCATCTTTCTTCTTTTAATGTATTCAAGTAATGCTTATTGTTAGTCTTGGTGTTATTAGCAATAAGCTTTTGAAAAATTATTTTCTGATTTTGTTATTTTCTTGCATGTTCCTCCTCCTCCTCCCTGCCCCCCAGGTAAATGTGTGTCCATTTTGGTCATCCTTATTTGGATAAACATTCATTTTCAAAAAGAAGCCTTTTTTCTAAAAGTTTCCTTAGCAATGCTTGATAACTATGCTGTATTGACCTGTGTTGGACTTTGTGGTACCTTTTCCTGAATAACAATATAGCAATATACAGCAATAGCCAGTTTGGTGTAGTGGTGAAGGGGTTGGCCTAGGAACCAGGAAACTGCGAGTTCTAGTCCTCCCTTAGGCGTGAAAGCCGGCTGGGTGACTTTGGGCCAGGCACTCTCTCTCTCAGCCCAACCCACTTCACAGGGTTGTTGTAGGGAAAACAGAAGGTGGGAGGATTATGTATGCTATTTTGAATTGTACAAAATAAATGTGGGATATAAATCTAATAAATAATTTTAGCTGAACTTCCATTATCATGGATTTGAAAAATCCCAAAGCTTCTGGAAAGATTTGATCCTCTTAAATTTCCCATCACTTTGTTCCTTCTTACATTGCCTGCACAATTATTGTACGTGGTGTTTTAACAAGGCCTGAAATTCAACACAGATGGTGGGAAAAAAACTGGAAAGAAACCAGCTTAAGTACAGTAGATCAGTGAATTAAGGTATTAAAACTGACAAATAATTGCAGTTTAATTAATGACAGGATCAGAGAATGGAAATGTGGCATTTACGTGAGGATCTAGAGTTAAAATTCCTCAGCCTTCTGGGTCTGGCACATTCAATATTTATTCTTATAAGAAATAGACTATAAGGTTATTTATAACAATTAGACAATATGTCATGAGGCTTTCTGTGCATAAGCTTAATTTTCAAATCCCAGTTCTCACCATGAAGAAAACGA